TTGCATAGCACAGAGGACGGGGATGGAAATGACCAAGTAAAACATAATAGAGGAAGGAGGAGAACATTGTGTGTCTCTTGTGTCTCAACCAGTTTGGGTGATAAATTCTCACTGTGTGATCAACTTGATTCTGCAAAGAGCACTGCAGATCTCTAAGATAAGTAAAGATGAGGCAAGGATATCTGTCTTGTACCTGATATATAAAAACAGAATACAATAACTTATGGTATTAAGTTCTGACAGTAAGCAGGGATTTATGATGAGTCTAGACTGAAGAAGCAGCCAGAGCAAACTCAAATGGATCTGCTGACTTTACAGGGTAAATATCATTCTTAAGTCACACAGAGAGACACAGCCTCCATACGGGAAGTTGCAAAATAAAGGCATGATGTATCTTGTAGTCAAGCTTGGCATGGCTGGATCGTGCTGTCCTTGAACATATCATTAAAAAAATATCTCCACAAACGATTGTCCTTCATATTAAATCCCAGGCTAAATGACGGATGGTGTTGGTGGATAGACCAGTCATGTCAGCCTTCAAGATGCTGGGTTGTATTTTTGATTGATCTACTGAGAAGACTATTATCAGTCGTGTCAAAGTTTTTTCTTTATATTTTGAAAAATTGAAGATGTATAAACCTTAAGTTATCTACTTTTTGATGTTATAGAGAGCCTTGTTGTTCAGATAAACATTTTGTCAATGTCAGGGTGGATATTTTTAGTTTCACTAAAGTTTACAATTATATCCTTTAAGATCTACGCCTACTTCTTTTGTGCCGAAAAGACTGATGAGATCAATATAACTCGTATATGCTCTGTAGTTTGTCATTAGCTGTTTAGCTCTAAAGATTGCACACTAATGGCAAGCAGCAGGAAACTCTTTCCAAAGATTAAAAATACACATTTCAGCATCTCTTCAATTCATTTATTAATAACACATCCCACAATAAACATCAGAAATAAACCAAGCAAAAAAGGACAAGCTAAGAGTCTCTGTCAGAAAAGACGTTATTTTACAAGCTTCACCCGGGCTGTGGTATCAAACTGTGTAAATGTACGCCTCCCTAATAGGTATGGGATCTTTTTTTCTTCTTCACTGTGAAATAATAAATACACTCAACAACAACATTAGCATTACTTAAGCTCAGCTAGACTGCTTTAAAGAAACTAGCAGGAATAAGCAGACTACAACGTCACATACAGGAGCCCTCTTTTTTTGAGAGCATTGGATGTGTTGATCACTATCTTGATGGAAAGAATGTATATTACATGTGACAAAAACAGCTTCTTAAATTAATTATGTATCCTTGCTCGAGAACTAGCACATGCAAAGTTGTGTTACATCACAGTTTAAACTCAAAATTTTTGGTTTCATATAATCCTTCCGTCGCTAATTGGGACAAATGTTGGCAGCACTGACCTTTCAGTAGCACCAACAGGGTCCATTTCTTCTGATTTGTCTGTGCTAAAACTGAGATTCAAGTGTCACAAACGTTTAAGAGCGATAAGGCTTTTGAAAAATATTTTCCTTGGCCACTATTAGCATCGGAGATAATCTGTGCTCATGTTTATTTCTTCAAGTTGTGTGAATTGTCTCAGGAGCTGCTGCTTGTCTTCTGAAGGGGCAGGGTGTGTATAGTGCATCCTCTCCTGCTTAAACCACACTGGTGGAGGATGCCTGTAGCCTGGTGGTTAGCGTGCGCTCCCCATGTGCCGAGGCTGTAGTCCTCCAAGCAGGGCATCAGGGGTTCCTTTTCCACGTGTCATTCCTCACTCTCTCTCTCTCCCCAATTCCCTGTCTCTATGCACTGTCCTCTCTATTAAAGGCATAAAAAAGCCAAAAAATAAAGCTTTAAAAAAGTCAAACAAGATTTTAAAGAGACGTTTTTTTGTAAATAAATGTTTTTCATAGATTGAACCAACAATATGAAACCAGTTCATTAACGAGCACTGGTAGGCAGAGTTCATGTTAACCTTTAACAAAACCAGGCTAAATGTTTCCACTACCTAAGCTTAACTAAGATAAGCTAACCAACTCCTTGCCTATAGCGCCGTACTTATATGCTAGTAGTTTTGATCTTCTTGTCTTACTCTTGGCATAAATTCTTTAATTCACTATAAGATATCCAGCTTTTCCTTAGATACCCCAGTGAGCAGGATAAATAACAATAGGTAAAATGGAGCAAAGAAGAGAGAATGAAAAGTAGAGGGTGACAAGAGGAGGAGGAAGTGTGACGACCCTGCTTTTACTCTGAGTCTTTGGTGAGGTACGGCCAACACTGTCATCTTCCCTCAAGCCCCTTTAGCCACTCATCTGAAGCTGACCTTGGAGAGACATGTGGGCTGCATCTTTCTTCCACATCACAGACACTGTCTTGTAGGATTGCAGGAAGAATTGAAGGGTTAAGTATGATGTTGATGCTTTGCAACCCAATGACACCTGGCTGTATAAAACAGCTTGACTTTCCTTGTACTGATCCAAGATTCAACATGGATTCAGGTTCCTGTTCCTGCACCTGTGATCATCAATTTAGTGCTTTAATTTTTCAGACAGCAGGCAGACGTCCAAAGCAAAAATCAGACAAATTGATGAGCAAAGGTTTGATATGCTAAGAGTATTTATCAATGCGTTGAATAAGACATCTGGAATGTGTAATCCTGTTAATATTCTAGTAACAGTGTCTAATGTCAAACATGTGTCACACTGACATCTTGGAGCCTCCCTGTGAGTCGAACTGCTCGTAGTTTGTTTGCTTGGTGGAACTTGTGCTGGGAGGCTGTCAGAGCTCATCTCGACTAGTGTGACATGTGCTCAGGCACACTCCCACTATCAAGAATAACATCTCTGGCTCCAGATACGATCATGTCCCAGGGGCATTCAATAAACAAGAAAACTATCTTTTTTATCATCAGCTCTTGCGCTTGTCCCCAAAAATGTAAAAGCCTACATTTTTCAGGTTATGAAAGGGCACGCCTTGGGCTTCGAACTATTTAGGCTTGTAATACGATTCATGGAATAGTTAAACAATTGTTTGAAAAATTTGCAGCAGACAAATAAAATGAAAACTGTGACAAATTCATTCTAAATTACAAGATGTGCATTTTTCCACTCACACGCGTAGCTTGCTCTGATGTTTGTTGTTCCTTTTCTTCAATAAAAACAGAGCCGAAGCTTTCATAATCTTTCATTGTCGTTTGTAAGGCAATCATTGCTCTGAAGAGGGTGAACTAGCAAAATTAAAACAGTTTTAATATTCTCAGTTGCTTAACTCCAAATAATAACAACACTTGATTATTTGGCCAAGCATGACATAAAAGAAGGCTTCAGTAAATATGAAATCATTAAATACTCTATCAATGAAAGACAACCAACCTTCAGACTTTGCCATCATCAATGCTGCATTTAAAAGCATAAACGCACAGTGGCAATAGAAAATACATTTATTTTCTTCACACTATTTTTTTTAACATACTCAAAGCCAAAGTTAGTCATTCTCTTCCACATGATATAATGAAGCATGTCAGCCAGTCATCAGTTATCTGTATAGTACTGACCACATACTCAAACCATGGGAAATAGCTTTCAGGTCTTAAAGTGGAACCAATGTGGAAGTGCCATGCAGTCTTTTTAATGTTCTGTGACTCAACTGGTTGCTCAAAGACGTACGATTGTATAAAGTCTATTAAAAAATGATGAACTTCTCACTTGATTTATTACCGTACTAAAATATTTGTAGCATGTTTATTGTCTCAAAGGCTTCTTCTAAGATGACAGCATGATTCTGATTTTGTGAATTACAGTCCCAATTAGAGTACAATACAATCAAAGTAATAAAAATGTAATTGAAACACAATGCTCCACTAAAAATTGTCCCATGAAGAAAGCCTTTTGGTTTGTACTTCAAGGGACGTAAAGAAGTTTGCTGTTATTTTGTTTGTTTGTTTTTTTACCAGTAAGAGGACTTTGCCTTAAGCCTGTTTCAGTAAGCCAGCATTATCATCCAGTTAATGGGAATTATTGATACAACTTGCTTGAGTTGGCCTTTGCTTGCATTATTGTTTTCTTTAAAAGCTAAATCTAATCCCATGCTTCTGCTCTGTGATTGGGTAGTACTATTATGTCCCAAATAGCACTTTTTCCAAGGAGATCTCTGTTCATGTCCAGTGTGAAACCAAACTTCAATGGTGACTTAATTCTTTGACCAGAGCCAGCATTTTTCTAACTTTAACATAGCATTGTGAAACGGGACAGTTTATTACCCTTATGCACCAAAATAACTTTGTTAGTTTTAGCAAATTGATGGTTCACATTATAGGGGGGAAATTGAGAATTTGAGAAATAAGTTGTAATGTAAGGAAAATTAAGCTGTAATATTATAAGAATAAAGTCATAATTATGGGCTATGGTTATTTTGAAGTGGAATATCAGAATAAGGATAGCTACCTGCAGTAAGATGAGGAACGTGAAGCATCTTGTGAAGTAGTATAGGTTTTTACAAAAAATGGAATACTTCATTTTTTGGCACATTGTCACCACTTTGTCAAAGGTTTTAGGACTTAATAAAGATTGTGTAAGAAACTGTGTGTATACAGAAGAAGGACGATCTTAAATGGTGACTTTACACTGGGCACAGGACATGACAGGTCATCTCCTGTGCTCCTTGCTGAATTTTAAAACACATGGCTCTGGGATCAAATAACTTTTATGCACACAAAAAAGAAGAAAGACTTGAAGGCAAGCTTTGAGTCAATAAGCACCAGGCCATTAGCAGCACCCTCTAGGTTTAATATTCTACCTACAGTGAACGACAACATCTAACATGGCAGAATTGAATTTTTAAGATGGTACACCACAAACCAGTGGTTGATGTTGGAATGGGTAAGACCACTTCTCAATGCTGAAGTTCCTCGAGGTCCAAGCGGGTTTCCTTGACTATGAGTTTAATTATTTTTTCTTTGTTAACCAGTTTGTTGGAGAATGCAGGAACACTGACACTTAAGCACAGTGTGTTCTTGTGTCACCAATGATACATTTCTTCTCCACCTGAGGGAACAGTCTGACATTACAGAACACAATATGACTGATGCAGTGTCTTCATTATTACATCTTTACAACTAGACAAAGGTCTTGTGAGAAGGCACTCCATGGATGACAATTCACACTTCCTCCAAGAGGCTCCAGAGAAACTTTATCTAAGTTTACTGGTAAAACACTGGTTTATACATTAATCTCTGCAAAGTTATTGTTTGTCACAGCTGGTGAAGGCTTGCTCTTCAGTCCCTCCGTGGCACACCGGGAGGTCTCTATGAGGAGCAAACGCGGGAGGCAAACAGCCAGAAGAATTGTCTTGTATTCTTTACGGAAGTTCTGGTTAAGAAGTCCGTATATGATCGCATTTAGACAGCTGTTGAAGTATGCCATGAAGTAACTTGTGACAAAGAGCCACTCAGGTATGTGAGGTGCTACTTTTCCAGGGTTTATAGCTACTGCTAGGCCAATAAGATTAAGCGGAGCCCAGCATACTGCAAACAACACAAACACCATAAACATAGTCAGAAAGTTCCTCACATCGCTAGGTGTCAGTTTTGTCCTTTGCTCTGGTTTAACGCGATGTTTCACTTGTATAACCAGCACCCATATCCTCATGTAGCAGTAGGACACCACCAGCAGCGGGATCAAGAAGTGAATAACCACCACTGATATGGTGTAGTATGAGCTGACCGTCTGCGCGAAAGTGCAGGAGTATATACGTGGATCGTACTGCAACGACCCGACAAAGAAGTTTGGCACTGTGGCGATTGCAGTGAGAAGCCAGGTGAGGCCAAGGTAACAGCAGGTGTTTCTCAGGCTGTACAAGCGGTCGTAGTGGAGGCTGTGACAGATGTAGCAGTAGCGGTTGATAGCGATGGCTGTTATGTTGAAGATTGAGCCAATGACGCTCAGGCCCATTATGAAGCCGCTGGCCTGACAATGAAGGTCTCCCATGGTCCAGTCATTGTGGAAGATGGCAGTCAGGACCAGAGGGTATGGGTACAAGGCCACCACCAGGTCGGCTACGGACAAACTCACCACAAAGATGTTCCCTGGAAAGACATAACAGGTTTAGATAACAGACAAAACATGACTCAAACTAATGTATAAATAGTGCATGTAACTCTTCATTTTCTGCCCCAGGTCAAATTCCTTAAAAAAAACTGGGTCACTGGAAGTCTTAATTTGCCTTAACATCATAGAAGAGCAACTTTATTTAAATCAGGCTGATTTCTAGCAACAGATTTAGACCCATGGCAAATGCTTAATTGTCAAAGTTTTTTCAGTGTAATGCAACTGTTTTTAAATCTAGAAATGTGTTCATCTTTGGCTCCCTGGATGACAATGGTGGTTGGTCAGCCAGTCCGATCATCAAAGTCCAAACACAAATATCTCAACTATCGAATTAATATCCATTCAGCGAATTGTTAGAGATGTTTATGATGCCAAGAGAATAAATCTCACTATTTATTGCCACCATGGCGATCAGATTTCAGTGATAAAAAATGATTTGACTGATTGATAAAGTTTTACTTTATCTGTTACATTAAAGAACCCATATTATGCCCTTTTTGGGGTTCGTATATTTAATCTATATACCTACTAAAGTATGTTCACAATAGCTAAAGTTAAAAAAAAAGTGTCTGTTTTCATGTACTGCTCCTCCTTGCTCCCTCTACGCTCTGAGTCCGTCAGCTACGCTCTGTTGAGCCCACACTGTTAGACCCCACGTGGGCCAAGTCTGCTCTGATTGGTCTGCCGATCCGCTCTGTTGTTATTGGTCAGTTGCTCAGCACGCGTCTCGGAAATTTCAACATGAGCTGCAGGGCTTGCCACAACAAGCCAATGGGCTTAGATCAGTGATGCCGCACTGACAAATTTCTATCGAGGGGGCCTAGAACCGAGCGTTACATGCAGCTAATGCTGCAGCTAACAGGAGGACGTAGGAGAAGCTGCGTTTCCGCGGACTTTGAATTTTTGCACATAGATGTGCCTTAACATGCACAGGACACTTGGAAAACACACTTAAGGGCATATAAAACCAGAAAAAGCATAATATGGGACCTTTAATTAGCAAATGTTAGCATGCTTACACTACACTAAAATGAATATGGTAAGTATTAAACCTTTATCTCATCATTGTGGTACATATGTAGTTTGTTATAATGTTAGCGTGCTGATGTAAGGAGTTAACTGAAAGCACAAATCTGCAGACATGCCGGAGCCTCTAGCATGTCTTTAATAGCAGTCTTGTTCTAAATTTGACCATGTTCTTTGTCTCTGCAAAGGACCTCAAAAGATATTCTTTTAAAGAAGCTAAGTTATTTAAACATAAAGTGAAGCCACCATGCATTACATCCGTGGTTTTCATATAAACAATTATGTTTTCTGCAGCCCAAATAATCTGTGAAGAATTATACATAATCTACCTCATTGAACAACATTTTTTGCCAGACATTGGTGAGACTTGAGGGTTGATAAAACATAAACTACCTTGTGAAGTTGAAATGTGAAGGCAGAGAGCTCTGGCATGCTCAGACAACAGCTGAAACAACAGGGTTGATTGGCAGATTCGATTGGGAGTGGATTTAAAACACATGTCGACCATCAATCCCATTCAGAGCTTGTTATAATCCCTGCACCCCAGAGACAACACAGCTACAGTTTGTTGTTTAGCAACCAGTCTAATTTTAATTCACTCTGCAACTTGATCCATCGAACATGGTAATAGGGGAGGCTACAAAGGAAAATAGGTAGGTTTTACTTTTTTTTCAAAGACCTTGCAGGTACTCAGCAATAGACATTTTCCAAGCAACTAAAACAGCATGATCCCCTCCCCCCCCCCACATCAAGCCTGCTGAGATAAAAAATAAAAGCATTTGTTCCTCATCCCAAAGTCAGCTCAGTGGACAAATCTGTCAGCTTGTATTTGTGACGCTAACAGTGCTCGCTGTGTGTGTTTGTCATTGTGCAGAGGTTTGATTCTTTGCTGACAACATGCAGCTCAGTGTTATCATGTCAGCTGGCTGGACGGGGCCTCGCAGCTCTCTCTGGCTGAACCCTCTCTCCCCCCCACTTATCGAGGAGGGGATGAGGTAAGTGCTAAAACACCGCTGAGAGGATTGCAGTGCAGTGGCCAGATGACTGTCTTTGTTTTGTTTGCATCCATTATTTAAACACTGGACGAACCATTACCTCTCTGCTGTTGGATTAACCAACTTGGCCGGCCTCCTGCTCGTTACATCCACACTCACATCACTTGTTTTTTTAGTGTGAACCAACAGAGACGGAAAGCTGTTTAACCAAAATATTCATGCTCTTTGATATCTTTCAGATCTATTATTATCGACAAGTGTGAGTTGCATAGGGCTAAACCTGAATGCTGATACAGGCCATCGGGGGGACCACTGACTTCCAGACTCTTACTTTATAACGCAACTAGCTCAGAAATGTTCTGATCCTTAAGCCAAACAAAACTGTCAAACAAGTGAAATGTTGCATCAGTGTGTCTCCAAAGAGTTAACCAACCTCCTGCAAATTATATTTTTGTCTGTCTGCCACACAGACTTTTTGGCATATAAAACCAAACAGCACAAAACTGACATGATATCTGACTCCATAATCATGCAGCACTCACCAGGCTGCAACATATCAGAAATATATTTGACACAAACTGCCTCTCTCCCCCTCCTGCCTGCACATAAACGTGCATATTTTGGTATTAAAATAGGCTTTTTTGTACAACGTGCGCTTATTTATGGCAGATTGCTTCATTCCAGTTCTTCTAAATCTGAATCGTAAAAAGAAAAATGTAGGAAATAAAAAGGGAGTTATGCTGGAGCAAGAATAGTGCATAATGAAGATGTGAGTGCAGGGAATATACAAACCAAGAGACAAAACAAAAGCCTGCCAGCTGAGTGGATTTCCACTCTGACGACTCGCACGGTTGTGAGCACGAGTGACTCTCCAAGGGCTTACGTTCCTGTGTCAAACCCGCCGTCTGTATCCCATCAGTCACACTGGAAACGTGATACACTTCGCTTTGACTCAACCGGCTATATTTATACACCTTTTGAGGGAAGGATGAGTTTATAATAATGCGTGGGAGGGTTGGCATCTCTTGAGTCTGGCTAAATGTCAGCAAGAGTTACAAGTGCACTTCCCAAACCAGATTACATTCAATATACCTGTTCATTTTATGATAAATAAGCAATAACAATCTCTTAACAAGTGTGTTAGCATTATTTCATTCATGGTAACTACTTCATACACTCATATCAGAGCGACCAGAGGTTTGTTTGCTGATACAAGCGGCATTTTGGTGAGAAATCCCAGCCAAAAACATCATCGATCTCTTCTAATGCCACGATCAAATCAGACTCCTCGTGTCTGAGAAAATAATGATCACCAGCCCCTGAGAGGAAGCAGACCATCGAGACACAAGCAGCATCTGGTCCAACCAGCAATTTCACTTCTTGTTTTTCTTTTTCTTTTTAAACAATCCTGGAAAAGAATGATGTTGAATTATGCAGATTTACAGAAACAGCCTCCTGCAGTGGGAGAAAAGATTGGATGTAATGTAAGCAGAGCAGTGCATTCACCTTATCTGTGTGGTTAAAATCAAATAATCCTAATCTGATATTATCCTACCTGCATGAGAAACTGAGATGTCATGTGCTATTTTGTTGTCAGGAAAAGAGGGTATGTTTAATGTGGTGTGCAAAGTGATATTCCCTGAGGATCTGTGCTGTCAGTGTAAATTGGCTTCTGGTTTGACTCACTAAGTTCGCTGACTCAATTAACCCCGCTCTGGACACTCTGGTTTTTAGGTTTTACGCATGACTGTAGACTGACTGACGGGATGCAGGGCATGATTTAACAAAAATTAAATTCCATCTTCATCCTTACACACCCTACCGCCCACAGCTTTCCGACAAACACACAGTCAAGCTCAACGTTCTTTATTTCCTCTATCTCCTCCTCTACATCACTCTCTCCTTCGCTCCCTCTTGAGTGCATTTTCTGCGTGTATTTTTAGTGTGGTCAACCCCAGTGGGAAACTCTGCTGTTTACAGCCTATTGGCAGTCCTATATAGTGCCATTTTTAACCTTCGAAGATTCAATTCTTAGATCCTGTTATATTTTCACACTTGAGAGAACCTGCAAGCCGGTGACAGGAGAACATACTGATTCTCCTCAAATGTATTACGTAACATAGAATATACTGCTCAGAATATATACCAGCATCTAGCAAACGTGCACAAGCATGTGGTTTTTTTTTTTGGAGGCGGTTGAGTGGTGGAGGGCTATACTGAGGCAGTGTGCAGGGTGAGTGAAGTGAATGGAAAAGGTCCTGCTGCTATTTGGGAGTCTAACGCATTGACTGAATATAAAGACAGACGACACAACTACACATGCACCTGTTGTACCAAAATGAAGCCAAAATAGCCCTGCGACGGTTGCTGGACACATTGTGTTGGCGCCATTGGTGGAGCCTAAGGGCCATTGGACATTGAGTCTGTTTTTTTTCCTCCGAAATCAACGCATGTTAAAAAAAAAAAAAATACAATCTCATGTCAATCATGTTTGCTAACTGGATTTTTTTTCGGAACAGGTTTAATTTTTTGCATTTTTTTGCATGCATTCCTGTTTGTGTATGTCTGTGTCTGTACTGTCGCTACCACAAACATACTGCCATGCACTTTTCTGGACCAATTATTTCTCGGAAGTTGGTGGTGTATTTTTAAGGTGTGGTCCAAGTCAAACTGCACCACTGACATTCTGATATACACCTGGAAGCTATCGGGATAATTTTGCAGCTCCTTAGGCTATCACCAGTTGAAACTTTCCTTTACTGACAGGTGAAACTCTCCGCTTGTCTTGTTTTCATGTGGACAGACCCCGTTGTCTTTTTTTCAAGGAGTGAAAGAACCACAAAATCAACTTCACTGATTGATCACTGCGTGATGAGTACAAGACATTTTTATCTCATACTGCAATTTATCGTGGCGTTGTTTTTTGTTTTTTTTTAGATTACGGATCCAAAAAAAAGCATTTAAAAAAAAAAAAAAGACTGAATCAGCATGAAAAGGCCTTTAGTCAATACGCCCGCCCCTTCAGATAACCCCCTCAGGCCAGAACAGTTTACTTCAAAACAGATTATTGTGTTGAGTTGAAGCAGACATATTAGTTAAAGGAAGTTTAATGTCTTTTGTGTATGTTTTTGTTACGTTTCCTGTCACTGTTCCTCCCCTTCTCTGCTTATTTGGTTCTAACAGCACACTCAGGAGCCTCATTTGTCAACAGGGCTGTCAATCATGGTGTCATACTATTTTTTAGCACCAAACAACAGATTTGAACTAACTTCACAGAAAAATGAAAACTCAGACATAAATGAGCACAATAACATCTTGATTTAATGACAGACACCATGTTTGAGAACAAATTATTTGACACATATTTTGGTTTAAAGTCTGACCCATGTCCCATCTGTTAACATGGAAGAGGAGCTTCACATGACCTGTACTGCAGCCAGTCAGTAGGGGGAGTAGTAGAGTGTGCAACCGAGGGCAGGTTCTTTCGTCTGTTTTTCCTTTAACCTCTGAGCGCAGTCTTAACCACTAAATCACAAATTATACCTCCATATATCACCCATGAGTCATTTTCTGGCCCCACAGGATGTTATTGTATTGTACCAGGCCTTTACAAAACAGCCATCCATCTCAAAATAGATTTTTACATTGGACAGATCTTCTTTACTTGTTCTTTAGCCAGGTCTGTGCTTTCCTTTCAGACTGTCTGTACAATTAAACATTCATACAAAGTATGCCAAACCTATTAATAACTTGTTAGGAGCACAGGGGAGTTTTATGTGGATAACAGCGGGAACATTTTGAGTCACTTAAGGACACACTTAGAAGAAAAAAACCTACAGTAGATAGTAGTTAAGCTGCTAGAGGAGTTTCATGTTTCTGCTCACACATAGAGGCCAGCAGGGACCAAGCAGCACTGGTGAGGACTCTAGTGTGACTAGGACCTGTCTGTCCATCCAATTAGAGTCCATGGAGAGGATGTTTAAACAGGACGCTTACTCTTGTCCTCTTGTTTGAGACCAGTGGACTGTGGCTCTTTTTTCAAACTGGGTAATCAGATTATTGTCAGGGCTCCTAAACTTCCATCTGAACTGCTTTTGTCTGCTGTACACTCAGGAACACATATGTTATATAATATGTTTCAAAGTGTAATTAAAAGCTCATTATTCCCAACACTTGCTCACCTAATCCTGCTGCCTGATTCTTATGTTCTCATTAGCGTCATGTTGTGATCACTGGGTTTAGCCTTTTTCCTCCGCAGCAGGCTTCCCTGACTTTATTTTTTTTAACCACTTAGGCGCTTGTCTAAATGAAACACGATGCTCCATGTCCAGCACCTTTTAACTCAAATCAGCGCAGCAATAACTCTAACATTTCTGGAACTCTTTCTTCTGTTTTTCCATCTCTGGAAACGTTTCGTACTGAGCACTTCCTTCCTATAAAAATCTAAATGTAATAATTTTTCTGCTCAGTGATTTGTGAAAAGGAATTTTTATTTCATTTATGCAGCTGGAGAATAAAATGTGCTCTCTCTCTTTTCAAAGATTCAAGATTCAAAGATTCCAAGAACGTTGTTGTCTATCACATAGTGACGGAAAATAACTTTTTGTTGAGGCTCAGTCACATAAAAACATACAAAGACTCACATTAAGTCATACAACAATTTACAACTGTTTGTTATGTCACAAAACCTGAGGGGCTTCAATACACCAGCCTGTGACTGGTTCTTTTATTTTGTCTTTTTTTTGTCACTTTACTCTGGTTGTCCTAAGACAGACAATAAACACAGCATGAAGATATCATCATAGTTTTATGAAAGGAAATGGAAAACACACACACACAATTTCCAACCCAAAGATGAGACTAATAATAACATTTTACGATGGGATTATGTAAAATTTCCTGGAAGAGGCTCAATAGTCTCTATGATTCTATAAATCTTCTGGCCATTAAAAAGAAAAGTAATGTACATGCCCCTCCCCCTGTATAGGTCTTATACTGTATGCTAGACAACAAACAGGCCAGCATTGAGATACTATCTGGAAGGAAATGGACTTCAACAGACACAATTTGCAATGCAAGATAAGACTAATCAAAGCATTTGTTGAGGCATTGTATGAAATTAATGGGATATTGGTTAATAATTACATTGAAATATCCACAGGACCTAAACGTTCAACATCCTCCATTTTTCTATCTCCTGAAATCTAAAATGTTCAATTGCTATGAAAAAGTAAAACCTTCAAAAATAGACGGTTACTGTGCACTGTGGCATGTTTAGTTGCAAGAAGAGCCGTAGATTTATTGTAAAATAACTCAGATTGTATTTAAAGTTTGTTAACAAATACAGCTGTGTACATCTGAAACCAAGAGAAAGCATGCATTGTACTGCTGTGAAATTAGAATTTAAAATTCAAGATGATCATATCTCCATAAAACAGTCAAGACAGGAACATCATGAATATGGTGCACTGTTTACGCTGTTCAACGAATAAGCGAAGATATGCAATAGCTTCTGAGAGATTATGATATGAAAATGAAAACCCTGCTGCTCACAGGATGATGGCTTTAAGAGTAGCTTGTTTCATTTAAGTATCAGAAGACAAATATGCATGAATCTGGGGTTAGAGGCAAACTAAAGACAATGCCCTCCCTTCAAAAACAAGACAAGCGAGCCTTTCTATAACTGAATGTACACCATTAATTTAACTGCAGAGATGTTTGCAGAAATTAACCTCTTGAACACGATAAAAGGAATGAACTGCATTTGCTGCCATTTCTGACACCAAAGACTAAGAGGGCAAAGGGGGATGTTGATGGATGATGCCATATGCTGAGAAAGACAGATGACATTAAAGTGATCACTATAAATATCTCCCTTGCCTTCACACTGCTGTCTTTAGAGGTATAACAATAACAATGACGAGGTTGAGTATACAGAGTTAAACCATGTCCAAAAGGACACAGAAGACCTACAACAGCATGTCCATCACCTTGGCTGCTTGTAGGACCACTCAGGTGAGGATATAAGGAAGGATGTGATTAATCTGAGGGTGGAGGACCAAGAAGGGATCCAGATGGAGGTAAGAAGAGGGTGTTACTATCAACAAAGAGATATAAAGGCAGACAGGCACCACACTGGGACTGGAGACTCAGAGTAGATAGCAGTCTGATTGTCAGAGGTCACACACGCTCTACATATTGTATTACATAATGTTATGAATGAGGAGAGCTGGGTACCCCTCATGCTGTAGGTCAACCAGACACGTTTTTTTTTAGACCAGAACACACAGGAATTAAGAAACATTCATTTTCATTTAATGCTTGGCATTATATGTATTTGTATTGTACTGTATTTGCCTTTATATCTGACAATAAGGGGTTTCATTTCCAACATTTATTAAGTATATTTCAACGGATGTTTTTCAATCCCTCACCTGCATTCCTCAGCTTTTTATTCCTAAACACAGACAGGATGACGAGGACATTTCCCAGAATGTCCACCACGATGGTAAAGATCAGCACGCTGGCCAGCGCAGTGGGCACTCCGGCTGGAGACGCGCTCAGTCCGCACTCGCTCTCATTCTGGGACAAACATCTCGACCCATTCACATCCTTCACCTCCAAATCCATCTCCCCTCAGGGTGCGCGGCTCATCGGCGGAAATACTCCAATGTCCAGCAAGGGGGGAAAAAACACAGACCTAAAGAATTCAAAAGGATTCTACTGGAGGGAGTCTTGAACTTTTCGAGAGACGAAACCTCACTCCTCCTCCTTTCTTCTCCTCCGCCCGAGGAGGAAGACGCAAACCATGACATGATAGTAAGCAGATGGATTGATTTCACGCACGCAGGAAATACAAAAAGGCTAATTTTGGAGGTGGCAAAGATGCCAGGAGCTCATGTGTCGTCCTCCGTCAGGTTCCCGTGAGTCACCGAGGCGCTTCCTGCGCGCGGGAGAGCTCGTTCAGGAGGCATGTGAGCGCTCTCCTGGCTGTGCGTAATGGAAATGCGAGGATGCGAGGCTCTCTCTCACACACACATACACACACGCACACTGGCGGAGAGTCCCTTTTGCTGCTTTAATGAGCACCCTATCTTTCTTTGTATCTGTCTGCACGAAAGTAAACAGATTGAAGCAATCGAACGATAATAATAATAAAAAAAAAGGTTTGCAAACTTATCGCTGTGCCTCTTTTCGCTTTACCTGTCTGGCTGGTAACCCCCCCCCCCAAAAACAGTAACTTGAAGTTCAACATGTTGGCTGTTGAGTTGTGGAGGGTCATGGCGAGGATACTGTAGCTTATGTTTATTTAAAGAGTTTACAGCAGAAGCCTTTAACAACTAGTCATGTTTCTTCTTCTAAACAAAGTAGTGCGTGGAAATGGCGCCTTCAAGTGTCCGATACAGACTCTTGCAAACGCTAAAATTCCCTAAGGACCACTGGTTGATGATTTACAATCAGGCCTTCCTATCTAGAAGGTTTAGACAAGGGCTATTCAATTACAAATTCAAAAGGGCCAGATTTTAAAACCAGGAATTTGAAGAGGCTTTTCGCATCATCTATCACTTCATCCAAAAAGCCCAGTATGCATCCTCTCACTGCTCTAATTCTGTGAGTGACACACGCGGGGAACCTGCTGTGTCTCTCTGTTGGTCTGTGCAGGTCCGCACCAGGGTTACGTCCCCGCTCATAAACTGGAGACAAACTGGAGCCCTGGAGGTGACATGGATGTTTTTCTTTTTTTATCTTTCACGTTTTTTATCTTTTATCTTTAGCGCGACTTAGTGTCTCGCACGCGCGAGTTACTGTATCTCGCACGCGCGAGTTACTATCTCGCACGTGCGACTTATAATAAGTGAGGAATTTTAAGGAGTAAAGAGGAATTTTCCTTCCTTTACTATCTCGCAGATAGTACAGAAAAGCAGTAGCAGTGAATGCAGGCCTGTTGTAATGGATCGAGACAGTCTCATCATTTTCTTCTTCAATTTAGATATGCGTCATAAAGAGATACTTAGAAGCGTAGCCTTATGTGGTTTCATTTTAACAAAGAGGCATCTTATCAGAATCCTTGGAGAATACAGACTTTGTCAATTTTCGGACTTGCAGGAAGTAAGTATTGATTGATTGATTGATTGATTGATTGATTGATTGATTGATTGATTGATTGATTGATTGATTGATTGATGTAGCCTACTGTATTAATCCTAGCCTGTCTTTTATTGTTTTGTTTAGTTGGAATCCCATTAGCTAATATACAGTATCATTTACAGGAGGAAGAATATTACATTAGGATATGTAAAGTAGATCTACCTATCTATCTGATTGCAAGAGAACTGGGTCCTTACGCATGTGTATATCTGTATGTATCTTTGTCTTTAGCATTACGTTAAATTCATTAATTAACTCCAATATTTGTTAACCAAATGTATATGTGGGACAGTTGCATAAAAGGACCCCCCCCCCCATATATTTGTTTATTTATTATTTACAACTAATTATTGTGGCTCAAAGGAAAAGATTTAGGCATTTTAATTCCAGAGTTTCACCACAAGAGGGAGTTTGTGGTTAAGGGTCGCTCTTGGTCAGCGCAGGTCAATCATTGTGTTGTTCTGATGAAGGTCAGAGAGGAGCGTATGATTTACAATGCTGCTATATGTTTATGTTTGCAGAAAAAAGTAAAACAACATACAACTCCAAGCGCACTGTGGTTCATTCAAGTGTGCTACATATACCCTTATATACCCTTATACCTTGAAATACTCACCTGTGCAGTTGCAAGCAAGGGGGATTTGTTTAGAAAATATAACTTGAGAATAAACTTTGACCTGTAATCCATGTAATGTGTACGCATATGTAAAATATAACGTGAAATACTGTTTAGTTCTCCTCCACTGTCTCTCTCTCTCTCTCTGTCTGTGTGTGTCTTTCTCTCTCTCGCTCTCTCTCTTTAAGAGTAATGTATAACCTGCATCTCTCTGCATTTTTTCAGGAGGAGTTAAATGAGATACAAAATGTCTGGAACACACATCGCATCTGACTGTGCCCAGTGGGATACCTAACATCATGTTTTCAGCACCTCATTTGTGGGGTGCAGATGACCACATAGTCCATTTTAATGCTATTGACCTGGCTACAGCCAAGCAGACCTGCAAGTTCCTAACAACCATCCCATGTGATGAGGAATCAGGGTTAGGCTTTCCAAACAACACATCAGAGGCACTGGATTTCTACATGTCATTGAGGGATGTTATCCGTCCCCAATTGTTTGAGTAGTATTTTGTGTTGTGTCTCTGTCTGTGTAAGTGGGGAGAGGGTCCCTATCCCACCATGTCTGTCGAAGAGGAGTGGACACTGGCGTGCCCCTCTCTCCAATCATACCTTGCCTGGAATCATTTGAATAACATTTTTGTAAACATTTTGTAGTTTTAGAAATACTGTATATAATATAACATTCAATTCTTCACATACACCTTGTAACTTGTATGAAGATTTACATGCCTTTGCAACTTTCTTAACTGACTGAATCTTTCCCTGCAAGTGTTGCAGAGGTACAGTTTCTCACCTGTGTGAGTTCTCATATGATTCCTAAGAATTCAGTAGTAGTATTTTTTGTTACTGAGTGACACATTGTCCATTCAAAAGAGTCTATTTGTCATGAATATAGTCTTTAATAAGTTCTGGTCAGTATAGGTGAGGAATACAGTAAGTAAATGTGTAAACCTTTATGTAGTGGCTATTTGTCCAAAAAACACCAAAAAAAATTATAAATAAACTAATATCAAAAATAATCAAATGACCACTGATGCACCATGGGGATGTGATGTACGCAGGCAAAAGAAATCCAATGTCCATGCAAGAGCTGTGGTATTTTGCTGGTTTATTTGAGGAAAGCAAACAAAAGAACAAAGAAAATCGTGGCTCCCGCTGCCTCTCTTGCTCTGGTAAAAAACAATAGGCCCACCCAGGTGCATGCCGGTCCTCCACCTGCCTCTTACTTAAATAATCTCACAGTATTGCCCAAATACCTAACAAAAATACTAATACAAAACTAAATTTACTAAACAAATAACTAGCAAAAAAGAAAACATTACCCAAAATCTTTTCTAAATAAAGAAAACGTGTAGAATAATTAAATAAACAACAACACCCAAATATTTAGTAAACTAAATACAAAGACTAATTCTAACACCAATTAAATAGCTCCAACACATTGTTTTGTGAATGTGTAGCGTGACATTTTGTTGCTGAATGTTGCCTATGGCAGCTTTTAAGGAAATATAAGAAAATGGGAACAATGAAGGCTAATGGTAATTTCATTTATTGGAGTACTTTCTTTGAAAAGTAACTGCTGCTTCAGTTGCTGTGACTTCACACCTGTAACATGCAGCTATGTATTACTGTAAGACCTTGAGTTGACTTGTTTCTGAGTGTCTACCTCTGGGTTTATCACTGTATAATGTGTTTCAAACTTTTTATTTCATTAATAAAACATTGCGTGTAATTACCATACATGTACCCTTACCCATTTGTAATCCATTTGGTTCAATTTCTACACTCTAGAGGTACGGAAATAGCGTTTAGTCAACTTGATACTTTATCTTCATAGGAGACACCTGCAAATACTGCAAATGTGCTAGTTATAGTGTATTAACACACTAGACCATTCAGACCGGTTGAAATAGCATTTAAGTAAAAAAGCTTAACTCAAAGCCAAGTTAAATAACAGACTATTGAACAGAGTGCTATTGGCAGAACTGCAGTAAAAGAACATGCATGCCAAACATGAAAAACAATGAATACTACAATGAATGATCAACGATCTTTCTCCAGACTGCATTCAAGCACAGGTAAACAAAACTGATGACTCCTAACTCGCACGCGCGAGATACAGTAAGTTTTTGTTAAAAAAACAAAAACATCCATGTCATCTCCAGGGCTCCGTAGTTATGCGTTTGGAGTTGTTAGTAAAACAAATAAATAGCCCAGGCACATTTAAACTGGCGGGTTTTCACTGTATATTTTTCTTTAAATCATTTGGAAAGGCATAGTCTGAATGTTTTGAATACCACTACTAATGAAGTAAGATGCCTCACTTGCAAGCTAGTTACATGGCGGTATGCTGTTGATTTTTTTTTTTTCATTAATTGGATTCATGCTGACTGGGTTGGGGCCACTCTGAGAGTGCATTTGGCCCCCGGGCCGCCAATTGAATAGCCCTGGCTTAGGCTATACATTGTGCTCACAGCCTATTAAGAGATGAACAACTGTGAACGTGAGCGCCTTAGTGACAAACCAAAGACGAGAATGAAAGAAGTTTAAGAGGAAGCTAACCTATAGCATACTTTTTGATTAAAAGGTGAATGTAGTGGTGTTAGTGGCTATTGGAATCCTCTCTCTGAAGTCATATTCTTGTCATTAGAGATACAATAAATTATCTTTACAATTTTCAAATCTGTTTTCAACACTTAAAACGAACTATTACAAACTCCTGAATAAGAGTGTCAAAAGCACAAACCAAAAGGCTGCCACAGGCTCCCTGGAGGTTTGGAGTACATGGATCCACTCTGCAGTTTGACATTATAACTTTCACATTTGTGAAGGAGTAGGTTTTTGTATCAAATAATGAGTCCGCATGCCATCTGTAACTTCCTGTCTATGGTGGCCCTGAAGTGCAAAGCAC